AATAGTGCATCACAGTGCTAAACATGTCACTTCCAGTTGACAGTAGGTGACGCTATGACTATAACTGAATATTGGCATGTAGACGTGTTCAGGCCAGCACTCTTATCAAACTTGGGGCAAATTTGGACATTGTATGCCTGAGTTACAGCAACTTCCTGTTTCATTGTATTAACAGCATGCTTTAGCAAATTAGCTAAGTGTTCCTAGCATGTTTTAGCATGTTTCTAGCATGTTGCTAGCCTATTTAACTCTTGCTGACGTTTTTAATATGTTGCTAGGAGTCCATAAAAGTGTTAAACATGACACTTCCTGTTGCCAGCAGGTGACACCATGACTATAGCTGAATATGGGCATGGACATGTGTTCAGGACACAACTGATATTAAACGTGTGAAGTTTGGAGCAGATCGGACATTGTTTGCCTGAGTTACAGCAACTTCCTGTTTCATGGCGAAACATTGAACTTTGTCAGGCCGCCAGGGACACACACAAAAAAAAAACTGCACAAATATAAAGACAATATTTTATCAAAATGGATTGATATAAGCTTTCTGGACCAGAAAAATAAATATCATTATATATCAGGTTTTGTTACTCTCTACGAGAGGATAAATACAAAATAACTAAAGCAGGGGTGCAAAACTCAATTCCTGGAGGGCCACAGCCCTGTAGAGTTTAGCTTCAACCCTGTTCCAACCTTCATACCATAGTTGTTTAATGTATAGTTAATGCCAATTATTAGATTGCATTATACATGTTCCATGGTAGTACCATTGCATTCTTGAAAGTACCTTGTATCATGATGGCACAATCAACTTCTGTGCAATAGTATTACAATCTGACACCATGGTATTGTCAAATATACATACTGTAGTTCCGACACTGAATTTTATACTATTTAGATATAGTATGTGTAATCTTAAGTACTATAAGTTTTGAAAAATAAGCATCACACATACAGGAACATGTAAAAACAAAAAACGTAATGCCAATATTGCTAGTTCATCTTGACATGTTCGTGCTCATCATCTCACCCCACAATTTCTGTGGTTTCTGGTTGAAGACAGAGGTGTTTTAAAAAGGAGTGGCACCAAAGACAATCAAGCAAACGAGAGTTTTCAGTCTCACTGTGCTCAGACTCTTTTGCCAAACAAGATGCTGCGGAGCATCATCCTGATCACCCTGCTGATATCCTCAGGTAAAATTAGCAGAGATCAGTTGTTGTTAGTTATCTTTACTAAACAATTTGTCTATATTTTGTGTGCCTCACTGAAAAACACAGCTTAGACTGATTTGGACCGGTTTATGTTCAGTGATGTGCAATGCTGGTCATGTAAAAAACAAACTTGAATGTACCTAAAATATACATATCATTCTTACTGTTTAACTGAACTAATGCATTATACTGCAGAACATTTAGTACTTATCATGCATTTTTCCTTACAGTTTGTGCTCTTCACTTGGAAATGCACAAAGCCAAATCTACTGGAAATGAACTTAAAGAAGACTCTGTAAGTTGTCCTCAACGTTGTTTATCATGATCCCATTTTGTGTTTACATTTAAAGTAGAAAAGTGAACTACTTTCACCAGATTGTGCATCAGTATAATTAGTGCTCAAACAAACATATTTAATACAGAAATGTTCTTGTCTTTTTACGATTGCATTTATTTCTATTATTTTTCCAGATTTTTTTTTACCAAGATTTTATGCCTGTGTAAACTTTGATAATAGCAAATAACATGTACACAGATGTATCTAATTTAGTCATTCCCAATGATCTACATTGATCCTACTGCCGTTAAATGCTGAACAATATCAATTTTAAGGATGTCTATGTCCATTCGTGCATATTAAAGTTGATACAAAAATAATTTTACAGCATTTTAAACCAGTATTTCCGCATCCCATTTTCATGATAAATACAAAACTTACTATGACTGATTTTTTTTTTTTATTTACATGGTTGGATGTAACACTTCTCTCTATTGTATACATTTTTTTTCAATTATTCAATTTAACAGTTATAATAAAGGTTTTTAGCATGTTTCTCAAGTTATTGTCCACTGCTATTTTTGATATTAGATAAGGTGGTGTACATCATTGATAGTGACCGAACTGTCATATCATAACTATTGACTCTAATATGCTGTATCTGTTATCTTGTTAGGGTGAGATACAAGCAGAACAACTCCCTGGATTGTGCTGGGCTTGCAAGTGGGCCATGGGGAAGCTGAGAAGTGAGATCATCAATGGCTCAACTAAGGTTGGTAACAGTACTGTTTCATACACTTCAATAAGTTCATGTGAGGCTAATGGCTTAATGTTAACTCTGCTGGTCACTTTCCTACAGGATGACATTAAAAGGATGCTGGGGATGGTCTGTGATGAGATCGGCTTCCTGAAGTACCTGTGTAGGATGTTTGTGAACAAGTACATGGGCACTCTGATCGAAGAACTTTCAACTACTGATAATGCCAGAACCATCTGTGTTAACATCGGTGTTTGTTAAAGGCCTTTGAAAGTTTAAGAATCCTTTCTTTGATAAATTGAATAAATGCATAAGGCTTTTCATTTGTTTATTTCTTAAGGGCTTTTCACACTGCGATTAGAAAGAGATAGTTCATCCAAAAATGAAAATTACCCCATGATTTACTCACCCTCAAGCCATCCTAGGTGTATATGACTGGGTATATGAGTTATATTAAAAAATGTCCTGGCTTTTCCAAGCTCTATAATGCCAGAGAATAATACCCACATAGCGGTACAATATGTATAGTGCGAAACAATGGGGTGTTTGAATGTTAGGACTAAACACTTAGCAACAGCTTTGGACAGTAATGGAAAAGTCGCACGTCGTAGCCTATAAACTCTCAGTTCAGCTTTTAAGGGAAAAAATGTCAAATGGTGACTGAAAACGTGCTAAAATTTGAGTGATAAAGAGACCGTTTCATTCTTACCTTTACAGTCCGAAAACTCCATATAGAGAAAAAAAGAAACGGCATAGTTGGCAATATATAATATGAGGACATATGTTAAAAAAGTATGATAACTCAGAGTTTAGGAATGTACAGTATGAAACGTCGGAGTATGAATAACCAGGATTAATTGTTAGCCCCAGGTAAATTATGAGCAATGCGAGACGTGAAGCAAGATAACCTAGGATCCTGTTGACCCAGAGTTAACTGTTTCAAGTGTGAAACGCCCTTGAGTGTTCCCTTTAGCTGGGAAAACTGAGCTAACGTTAAGTGCACTAGAGCTAATGGTGTGATTATTGCGCTTTTGTATACCAGGTTTTTTTTTGCATATTTGTTGTATACTGTACACTCTCTTTTTCTTTAAATAACGGCACAATAAATGCATGGAACTCATGTTTTGTGACATGTTTTTGCTCTTCCAATTTTTGGAGATACTTTTACAAACAGAGGATGCTTGAATTCATATTTATTGGTCCGTTTCTTGGTCCATAAGCACCACACCACATACATTAATATCCCTTGCCCATTTCAAACTCTTTCTTACATTTGGCAAAAAATCAGCAAGAAAGAATAAAATTGGTTTGAGTCAAGTATAAACAAATATACGTGTCCATACAAATAATTACAATTAAAAAAAATACATAATGACAGCACACATGCTACAATTAGACAGTATTTACAGACAAATGTTTTCAAGAATTTGTCCATTAGACTAATGCTACTGCCAGAAAGAGTTCATTGTGAAGCTGCGGTGATGCTCAGCATGCATTTGGGAGTTGCGAGAAAACGCATGCATGGGTTCTGATCTCCGTCTCCAGCTCTGCTGCAGTGCATCCTGGTCTAGTTTATTCAGACTTTGGGAGCACAAACGCAGGTCTCTGATGTGATCAGACAGACTTTCCAAACAAACATCACCCAGAGGTCCTGACACCTGACAGCCTGTCATGAAGAACGAGAGGAACTTCAAACATTACAGGACACAGTAAGTCACATTCACAACAACAGCGATCATTATCAGTTTGTTTAGATGGTTGGTGACACATCCTTCATTTCAAACACTGCACAAATTAGCTTCTCAAACAGCTTTTTCTGTGCGATGCTGCTGCAAGATTATGATGTGACTACATGCAACTTTAGGGATGCACGATATATCGGCCACCATATCGGTATCGGCCGATAAATGCTCATTTTTTCTGTTATCGGTATCGGCCCAATAAGAAAATTTGGCCGATATCTTAAAGCCGATAAATAATGCATTATTTCCTTCAGATGCGCGCTGTTCGTTTGCAGCCTTTTGTGCAATTGTACGTTGTAATATTGTGTTTATTTGATGTATATCTGATTTATCTCATATAGAATGCATTTGATTAAGTTAAAAGAGCGCTTCAGTTTACCGGTGATAAACTCAAACAGCAGTGCACAACATTAATAACTATGATTGGGAATGTCGTGTATATAACATTCTAATGAGAACATTATTATAATAAAACGTTGTGCATTCTTTGGGTTTAGTTGCCGTGTTTCAGCGCGTTGTTATGGGAAGAGAGCATCCACAACAGGATCACACATTCTGACTATAGCACGCAATAACTGCATAATTTTGTACATATATAAGTTGTAATATTATGTTTATGTTATATTAATATTAATCTCAGGATGCATTTCCATGAGTTAAATAAGCTGCCAGCAAAACGCTTCAGTTTACCATGTTCATTCAGCTCTTCAGCTTCAGCAAGCGCAGCTCAACGGCTGCTATTTAAAACAGTGGTATTAATTTGTTACTTTTTCAAAATCATTGATATATTATTAATAACAACAACCACTTGTATTTTTCTCTTATTATTTCCATCAACAATATGGTTTAGTAATTAAAATCATTTAATTATTGTCCGTGCAGAGGCTATTCCATTTTATTGATCTATGGGGCACAATAAATGCATGGAACTCATGTTTTGTGACATGTTTTTGCTCTTCCAATTTTTGGAGATACTTTTACAAACAGAGGATGCTTGAATTCATATTTATTGGTCCGTTTCTTGGTCCATAAGCACCACACCACATACATTAATATCCCTTGCCCATTTCAAACTCTTTCTTACATTTGGCAAAAAATCAGCAAGAAAGAATAAAATTGGTTTGAGTCAAGTATAAACAAATATACGTGTCCATACAAATAATTACAATTAAAAAAAATACATAATGACAGCACACATGCTACAATTAGACAGTATTTACAGACAAATGTTTTCAAGCATTTGTCCATTAAACTAATGCTACTGCCAGAAATAGTTTACTGTGAAGCTGCGGTGATGCTCAGCATGCATTTGGGAGTTGCGAGAAAACGCATGCATGGGTTCTGATCTCCGTCTCCAGCTCTGCTGCAGTGCATCCTGGTCTAGTTTATTCAGACTTTGGGAGCACAAACGCAGGTCTCTGATGTGATCAGACAGACTTTCCAAACAAACATCACCCAGAGGTCCTGACACCTGACAGCCTGTCATGAAGAACGAGAGGAACTTCAAACATTACAGGACACAGTAAGTCACATTCACAACAACAGCGATCATAATCAGTTTGTTTAGATGGTTGGTGACACATCCTTCATTTCAAACACTGCACAAATTAGCTTCTCAAACTGCTTTTTCTGTGAGATGCTGCTGCAAGATTATGATGTGACTACATGCAACTTTATAACAAAAAATATGCTTGAAGTGTCACAAGTGTCAGAAATTTGTCATCACTTCAAGTTAATTTGAAATCTACTATCTACTTCATGATATGCTTTTGCAACATATATAAAAACTTTCCCTTTTTGCAGCAAAAAAAATTGTAACTTACTGTAAAAACTGAATTACATCATATGCGTACTAGTAATTTCTCCCATTTTTGATCAGATGCTCAGAAAGCAATAGTTCAAGTCTGAAGTGTCAGTAAACCTATTACAGGGAAAGTACCCTCAAATTCCCTTTGATTTTAAACATCTCTGCTTAAAGGGATAGTTCACCCAAAAATGAAAATTCTGTCATTAATTACTCACCCTTGTGTCGTTTCAAACCCGTTAAGACCTTCGTTCATCTTCTGAACACAAATTAAAGGGGTTATATGATGCGATTTCAAGTTTTCCTTTCTCTTTGGAGTGTTACAAGCTGTTTGTGAATAGATAAGATCCCTAAAGTTGCAAAGACTAAAGTCTCAAATCCAAAGAGATATTCTTTATAAAAGTTAAGAGTCGTCCACGCCCTCCTAAAATGCCTTGTTTAAACACACCCCCACATGTCTACGTCACGATGTGGGAAGATTTGCATAACGGCGCCCAAATGTTCACGCAAAGTAAGAAGGCGTAACTTTATTGTTGCTGCCACCGCCGAAAATAATCCATGTGACATCAGTGGTTCAACCATAAATTAAGTTGTATGTATGTGGATACGCTGTTTATGCTTTGATCGAAATGTAAACAACAAATCCACGTACATACGTTGTTTACGTATGTGATACTCCAAAATGGCGCTATAGGGTGACACGGAGGAGACAAATTGTTGAATAAAGTCGTTATTTTTGTTTTCCTTGTGCACAAAAAGTATTCTCATAGCTTTATAACATTACGGTTGAACCACTGATGTCACATGGATTATTTTAACGATCTCCTTGCTACGTTTCTGAGCCTTGATCGGGTAAGGATCCTTGCTGTCTATGGGAGGGTCAGAGAGTTCTCAGAATGCATCAAAAATATCTTAATTTGTGTTCCGAAGAAAAACAAAGGTCTTAACGGGTTTGGAACAACATGAGGGTGAGTAACTAATGACAATTTTCATTTTTGGGTGAACTATCCCTTTAAGTTCATCACCGTTTAGGGATTTGAACCTACAACCTTTCCCTTATCAGCCTACAACCAAACCACCGGCAGGATACAAAAGGAAAACACAATAAAAAGACAAATGCATCAGAGCTGATGAGACACAGGCGATTAAACCTGACTATCACTGGAGGAAAAGAAAATACCTTGAAGACTGAGATGGGTCAAAGGTCGTTGGGCCTCCATGAGGGCGTTAAGGAGACTTTGAAGGCCAACTGAAGTCACTGAAGGGTTAGCAGACAAGTCCAAAGATACAAGAGAGGGACAAACAGGAAGACACCTAAAAATAACCAAAATATATCTAGAATATATATGATAAGCTGCAAACTGAAAGAAGCATATAAATGATGCATTAAGTTGTTTCAGTACAGTAAGACGAGAGTTGAATGATTCACCTAGCGAGCAAGAGGACACTGTGGTCCGTGAGGCCATTTCCAGCCAGATTTAAGTGCGTGAGTGGACAGTCACCCTGGAACCCAAACATTTAGTCAATATTAATTTTCATAGCAGTTGAATGATGTAGATTTTAAAGCAGAGATTAAATGGCTTTAGGGCTGGAGTCTAATTCCCCAAAACAGCCCACAACCCCATACTAAACATCTTAAGCACACATTCTTGTTTTTATCATTTGGAAAGGGGAACTGACTGACAGGTAGGAGCAGAGGTTGCATTAAACAAAAAAACGTTCAGTCATGTACTGACATTTTAAAAACACTGATAGATAATTAATTTTTTCAAGTTTGGCAAGTCTAACTGGACTAGAGGGAAGTAAGTGTACTTGTGTCAGGAGTTTAGCGAGGATCTCCATGGCAGGCTGGTCAGATGGACCTCTACAGACTGCAGAGAGCTGAAGCTGCGTGAGACAGTGCATCGGTAACGTCTTCAACACAAGCTCAAAACCAGTGGAGCCCAGTGCATTATGGGAGAGGCACACTGACCTCATATTTCCAGTGCCTGTGAGAGCATAAAATAACAGACAGTACAGAAACAGCATGATTTCATTCGGTTGTCTAACATAGGTCACTTTAGATCAGATGCATCTGATGGTGCACTTACTGGCCATGGCGTTGGCTAAGAGCAGACGGTGTTGCTGCAGGAAACGTGCAGAGAGGCCACAAGCTTGCAGGGACAGAGTGGAGAGCAGGGGACAGGAGGACAGAAGACTCGCTAATGCCTGCGTCCAGCCATCACCCAGAGGATTCATGCTTAAATTCAACTCCTCTAGACACTACAGAGAGAAAAAAAGTGAATATAAAAAGAGAGGGGGGTATCAAAGCTTGCTATCAAATTATATTATGCAGTACTCTTTTCATAAGATGATGATCAATAAGTTCTCAGTGATCTGATTTCATGAATGTGTGAATTACACATCTGTTCTTTTAGACTTGACCATTAACGCTTTCCTCATGAAACCACTGAACCAAAAAAGGGAAGCAGTTTGTTTCTTCTCAAGAAAGGAGCAAACCTCTTGACCACATACTGACAAGACAGTCACAATTATCTGATATTCATTCTTCACACGTCTATATTAGCTGCAGATCTCAGTGACCACACCACTGGGTGACTCATGCATGCTAAGATATGCTTGTTAAAACTCCGCTATATATATATATATATATATATATATATATATATATATATATATATATATATATATATATATATATATATTGGATACACACAGTATACACACAGTATGAAACATTCATATTGAGATTTGCTATAAATGACATTTATGCAAGATATACAAGTTATTATTAGTGTAGTGTTTTAAAGATGGTAAGTTAATCTTAATGTAAAAATAGGGGAAAGAGCTTAAACAAGAGCTTTTAAATATATCTATTATCGACTGATTTCATTAAATAAAAAAAATACAAAAAGAAAAACTCTAATAATGGCCAATAACTGATATGAAAACTTCTGTAACGTCTGTCCCTAATAGATGATCTTATATTACCGGAAGAATGAAAGTACACTTGCCGGGAAAGCAGCTTGACTCTTCGTTTCAAACGTGTCCGATGCTTTTTTGAGCGCCTCTCCAGTGATCTGATTGGCTGATATGTCTAAAATCCTCAGTGTGGGCATGGTGGCCACCGCAGACATCAGTTCTGGAAGGAGGTCGTTGTTCAGACGGTTGGCAGAGATGCGCAGCTCCGTGAGGCTGGCCTGCAGTTTGAGCGCTCGGAGGAGAGGAGTCAGAGACGCTGGAGGCAAAATGAGTCCACAGACGTTCACACAGGAGCTGCTATCCTGCACCTCACACAGCCGAGACACACGCCGGTTCTCCTCTGAAACACACATGGTATGAAACAAGCATGTTTTGTGATAAAGATCCCAGACTAGAAAAACACAACACTCACCCAACACCCAGACTTTGACAGGCTTTCCTGTAGCGCTCAGGGAGAGGAGGAAGATCCCATGAACGCACCTCAGCAAGAACCTGCAATAGGCAGATTGACCAAAAGATTAAAAAAAGAAAGGTTTGCAATGGAAAACAACTTAAACTTTCACCCTGTTCACCATACAAGGATACTGTATGGCTTCAGAAGACTACTATAATATAGTACTATCAGACTACTTTAATGGATCTTTTTTTTTTTTTTGGAGTTTGACACACTTTTGTTTTAAGGTAAAAAAAAGGAGCCTGAGCTATATTGTTAATAACATGGAACAATTAAAATAAAATAAATAAATAAAAATACAGAGAACCAGAAATTTCACACTTCAAACACCTCCAGTAATATTTATAGCATATTACTGTTTTGAGCACTGATGCCGTACTAAACCATGTGTTATGACTAATATTATCTTTTTGGTTTGTACGTCAAGTTTCAAATTATTGAAATGATAGAGAAAACCAAATGAGATGAAGCACAAGTATTCTAAACACTAGACCATACAATTATGATTTTGGTAATACCACTTAACTAAAAAAAATATTTAGTTTTACTGCGACACAGACTTCCAAAAAAATAAAAAAATAAAAAAAAAATATATATATATATATATATAGTTCCGAAAATATGAAAATGTGCTTAAGAAACTGCAGAATAGTGAAAGACATAAAACTAATTAGCAACGGGAAATAAAGTTTAGTATCATTAATATCTGTCTATTAATTTTATTATTATATTATACTGTATTGTATTGCATTATACTATATACAAAACTATTATATATTAATCATTTCTTGTTGGTAAAAAATATGCATTTATTATTATTATACTATTCATTTTCCTGTCAACTCTTTTGCTCCCACATTATGTTTGTTTTGCTACAATCCCTCTGTAAATGACTATAATTTTGTCTTTCATTCTGTAGTTTGTAAAAAAAAAAAAAAACTGTAAAAATTATGCATAAGCAAAAACTATTTGCTTTCATCAAGTTCTTAAAAAAAAACGACAAACAGTAGAAAAATACATAGACGTTCTCCCATGATCTCTGACCTCTTCATTAGTGTGCAGCACAGCCAGCAGTGGATCGGTGGGTAAGAGCAGAGCGCCCTCTTTCTGCAGGGACAGACGTGGCAGTAATCCACACGTCTGATAGTAACGCTGAGCGGCCTGATCACACAACCACGCCACTGTACAAGAGTCTGCCTCACTGCACAACACAACACAACATATAACATCTACAACTACTTAACCACTAAACACTATCTGATACATTCAAAAGCAGCATCAGACCTGTGTGGAACGGGAATCAAGAAGACATTGTCCTGAACTCTGACCCTCATCCTGATCGGTGCAGGAACATGGGCTGCTCGGTTCTGGAATGATGCTGGTGGCTCATTATTCATTAATGGCAATTAAAAATGCATTAATTAATTATAACAGTCTAAAAGTATCAAACACAATAAGTAGTATTATGTAGAAATAGAAATATTAGATCTGTTAGTTCCTTTTTGACTAATTTGTTTAGTACTTGCCAAGAATTATGACATTTTTTTTTACATAAAATAGTGTTAGAAATGCAGAATAACTGCATTTTTTCCAAAATGGTAACTGAATGCCACTTTATATATTAAACATACAAAGTAATGAGATTGTATTACCACTGACTTATGGACAGGAAGTGCAGGGTTATGAATGGGCCCAGATTCTTGAGTCATGATGGGACTTTGTGACCTGCTGACCTCCCTCCTGCCTAGATTCACCATCCCGGGCATTTGATTCATCTTCACATGCCGAGACTTATCAGTGCCCTTCTTCAGAGACAGACCCCTACTGGAGGAACTTTGAACTGCTATGAGAAATAGTGACATTAATTATAACAGTCTAAAAGTATCAAACACAATAAGTAGTATTATGTAGAAATAGAAATATTAGATCTGTTAGTTCCTTTTTGACTAATTTGTTTAGTACTTGCCAAGAATTATGACATTTTTTTTTAACATAAAATAGTGTTAGAAATGCAGAATAACTGCATTTTTTCCAAAATGGTAACTGAATGCCACTTTATATATTAAACATACAAAGTAATGAGATTGTATTACCACTGACTTATGGACAGGAAGTGCAGGGTTATGAATGGGCCCAGATTCTTGAGTCATGATGGGACTTTGTGACCTGCTGACCTCCCTCCTGCCTAGATTCACCATCCCGGGCATTTGATTCATCTTCACATGCCGAGACTTATCAGTGCCCTTCTTCAGAGACAGACCCCTACTGGAGGAACTTTGAACTGCTATGAGAAATAGTGAGAGACATCAAACTAATCAACAATTGACAATTAAATCGTTTTAGCATCAATAATATCTGTATATTAATTATATTATATTATTAATATCATACAAAAATACTATTTTATGTCATACATATTGTATATTAATTATAACATTATATTATACAAAAATATCTGACAGCAGAACGCAGCGACTGACCAACTAGAATCGAATATTTCAGAACCCATTCCATGAAAGTTAATTTCAGTGTTGGGAAATGTTATTTTGAAAGCGTTCCAGGAAAAGTGTTACATTACCATATACATCATAATATAAAAAA